GATTTTGAGATATCCCATAAATTCTGAGACCTAATTCTCTAAATATTGTACATGAGTATTTTTTGACCTAAGGTAAAATAAAAGAAATAAGTATATTTCATTAAAAAGCTCTTATTAATTAAATTTTATACCTCATTTATCAAAAATTCAATAGGATCTTGTAAGTTATGTAAACATTTTAGAGCAACTTTTTTATTTGTATCTCTTGTATTATTTTCGCTCCACTTAATATCCTTGTATAATGGACCATCCTTCCATATTGCTGAATACATTGTCATAGAACCATTTTTGCTCATTTCCTTAATTTCATTAAACTGACTGTATGGTATACATTCAATTATTGTATTACAAGAACTATGGAATATTTCTTGAATAAAATCATCAAGTTTTTCATTTCCACTTATATTTATAGATTTATTTTGGACCAAAATATAATCACTTGTATCTGGATTTTGAGATATACCATACAAAACAAAAACTTCATTATTATTAGCTAGATATTTTTCAGCCTAAACATAAGAAAAAGAGATAAGTGTATTATATTAAAAATGAAATTAAAAATAATTGCAGAAATAAAATTTTACCTTATTTATTAGGAAGTCAATGGGATTTTGTGAGTTATGTAAACATTTTAAAGCAACTACTTTACTTGAAATTCTTTTATAATTTTTACTCTTTTTAGACTCCTTATAGAATGGACCATTCCTCCATATTGCTGAATATGTTGTTATAGAATCACCTCTGCTCATTTCTTTAATTTCGCTAAATTGACTGCATGGTATCCATTCAAATAGTATACTATCATTATATTCAGTTTTTAATTGCATACTTTGAATAAAATCATCAATTTTTTCATTTCCACTTGTCCATGTAAAATAATTTTGAACCAAAATATAATCATTTGTATCTAGATTTTGAGATATCCCATAAATTATATGACCCCTTTCTCCAAATATTGTACTTGAATATTTTTTGACCTAAGGTACAATAAAAGAAATGAGTATATTTAATTTAAAGCGCTATATTAATTAAAATTTATACCTCATTCATCAAAAATTCAATAGGATCTTGCAAGTTACTATGTAAACATTTCAAAGTAACATTTTTATTTGAATCTCTAGTATAATTTTCCTTCATAATATTCTTGTAGTGTAATGGACCATCTTTCCATATTGCTGAGTATATTGTTATAGAATCATCTTTGCCCATTTCTTTAATTTCATTAAACTGACTGTATGGTATCCATTCAAATAATGTTTTATTATATTTAGTTCTTGATTGCATTCCTTTAATGAAATCATCAATTTTTTCATTTCCACTT